ACTGGGTCCCCCAGAACCAACTGACCCCGTCTCCTCCTTCCTCTCCCCGCTCTCTCTCTCTCTCTCTCTCTCTTTCCGCCTACTTGTAATCCTCTCTACCTTTCCCCCCCGTTCATCCTCTTCCATCCTCTTCTCGCACTCCTCCTCCTCCACCGCATTATCATCATCCATGTTCCATGTCCTCCTCCTCCTCCTCCTCCTCCTCCTCCTCCTCCTCCTCCTCCTCCTCCTCCTCCTACGTGGCAGCATGCCCATATAGCTTCGGTGGGCAAGCCTGCCGTACCTGGCGGGATCCGCAACTCTTCCAGGCCCTGGTTTGCGCCTGCTCTCGAGTCCACTTGGCACTCCTGGGCGCGAGTCCAGGGGCACTGGCTTTGCACGTCCTGCTACAGCCTGGACCTGGAACCCAGGCGTAGGCCACTCTCGGGGTGGCGTGCACACCGTGCTCAACCCTGTGCCGCCCCCGAGCGTGGGAGGGGAAGCGGGCCTCCCCCACAGTGTCTGCTGCCGTTGGTGAGGTGTCGCTCGGAACGCCCAGTCCGAGAACAGCCCCCAAGCGCCAGAACTGGCGGAAACCTTCCGTCTGGTGCTTCGGGGCGCGTTCCGGCCAGAAGTCCGAGGAGGCTCCCCGGCCCAGGACGTCGGGTCGAGGCGCAGGGGGGAGAACTCGGCCCCCGAGCCGTGGGCGGTGCCCGATGGGGGGGGAGACGACTGTGAGGGCGAAGAAACGTGCGCCTCTCGCGCCCCCTTTGGGCCCCAGGAGGCCCCATTTATTGGAGGCCTGGAAATTGGCACCAACATCAGCACAGGGTGTTGCCTCCACATGGGGATGATGATCCTAGATTTCGGTGTTGGTGGTAATATTTCGGTCACCTTGGAAGCCAGAATATTACCACCATCACCGAAATCGGGATCGTCTTCCCTCGGTGGAGGCACACCGCCGATCTTGGTGTTGGTGTCAACCTCTGGGCCTGCGAATTTAGGGCACCCAAGGTGCACGCAAGGTGCACGCTTCTTCGTCCCCCCCCATTCATCGTGACTGGTGCGCCCTGACACTTCGACATCGCGTCACCCCTCCCATTTGTCGACCCCCTTTGCGCAACGTCCGAAAGCCTGTCTTGGGGCTCGTTCCGGCCAGAAGTCCAAGGCGGATCCCGCCAGAACCACGGGGGGGGCCCTGAGGCTCAAGGCAACTGGACAGTCGGCCCAAGTGCAGTCGAGGTGCCACGGGGGCACTGCAGCGGGGGAGGGCGTGGCGCCGCGGAGAGACTGCCCAAGAAAGAGCAAGCAGGCGGTGAGACAGTCCACGAGGAGCAGGAGGAGCTGGCAGGAGAGAGAGAGAGAGAGAAGGATCAGGAGAATCCAAATCAAGAGAAGCGGATTCAGGAGAAATAGGACAGGAAGAATAGGAGAGTGACAAGTAGCAGGACACTAGCCATGAGAACCCATGAAACTGCTGCAAACTATTACAGTCAAAAACCCTGATAAGGACGCGCGGCAAGGACGCAAGACCCTTGGAAGCCGAAGTTGGGATTTTTGGGGCGGCGGACGACGAAAACCCCAAGGACGCAAGAGCAAGGAAGAGCAAGGACGCAAGGGTACCCTGAGCAAAGCCGCGCGTCCTTATTAGGGTTTTTGACTGCAAGACGAGTGCGCGCGGCGTCAGGGCGAGAACCACGGTCTGTAGAGGAGCCACCCTCCACCCGCGCAGCTCCTGCAGCTCTGAAACGGCGACCGTGCGCGGCGCTACATCTGCCGCGGGCTCCACGCCTCGAGCACGGCCCGCCCCCTCCCGCTCCTGCATCGATTTTCGACGACTGTGCGCGGCGCGATGGCGGGAGCCGGAGCTCGGAAGAGCGGCCCGGCCTCCATCCCGGTCCATCCCCGAAGCCGATGCGAATACGCAGCTTCAGGAGCAGAAGCGGTCAGGGCGCCTCGAGCGAGACGCCCGGCCCGCCCTGTCGACTGGCAGGGGGGAGCGACAGGGAGAAGTTCTTCATGAGCAAAGGAAAGGAGGAGGAGGAGGAGGAGGAGGAGGAAGAGGGGGAGGAGGAGGGGGAGGAGGAGGGAGGAGGAGGAGGAGGAGGAGGAGAGGAGGAGGAGGAGGAGGAGGAGGAGGAGGGATGGAGGAGGGATGGAGGAGGGATGGAGGAGGAGAGGCAGAGGGGGCGACAGAGGAGGGGCGGAAGGTGCGGGGACAGAGGCGGCAGCACGTGCACGCGCGCTCGGAGGCACAACGAGGACCCCCAGAGCCCCTTCGAGCGTCGACCCTCGGCCCTCCGGCGGCGGAGAGCAAGGGAGGTCGCCCTGGCCCGGAGGACCCCGGGAAGCCGCAGGCCACACGGCCCACCGCGGCCATCCTAAGATCAGGTCGGGCATGTCCTCCCACAGGCGGATCTTGGAGGGAAAATGAACAGTTGTCAAAAAATACCCCCCCAAAGGGTCAAACACAGTCCAGCAAATCGTCCCCGCAGCATTTTTGTTTGGCTGAGCTGGAATGCTCGCCCTGTAAGCGGACACGCCCGACTTAGTCATGAGGTCGCGCTGGATCAGGGACAAGGGAGGCCGTGTGGCCACGGAGAGCCTCGGCCTACGAGCAGGCTCCCCGACCTGGCTCCGAGGATCGCCACGACCGCCCGAGCCCCTCCCGAGCCCAAAGCCGCCCTCGCCTCGGCGCCTGCCTGCGCCGCAGATTCCTCGGGGGCCTCGCCAAGGAGAGCCCACACGCCCCAGAACCCCCAGGAGCCATCGGCCCCGCCCCTGAGAGCCGATGTTGTGAAAAAATGCCAAATCGCGCAAAGTCACGGAGACCCAAACACCATCCTTCTGCGGCACTGGAGCGCGTTTCATCCAACGCAGACAAGCAAACCGGCATGGGAATTCTCCCTGCCCTGCGCGGCCTCATGTCGAAATACTGGGCCGAAACGGTGTCCAGGTGAGCTTCGACTTGCATGCAGTCCAGACACTCCTTCAGGGCCTCGCCAGGCACCCCTCCTCCTCCTCCTCCTCCTCCTCCTCCTCCTCCTCCTCCTCCTCCTCCTCCTCCCCCTCCATGCTGGCACACCTGCCAGCGCCTCAAGGGCATCAGCTCCTTCCCCGGGCCGGACACCGCTCTGCGCGGGCCCCTGGGGGCCCTCCGAGCGAGGGCGCCCGGCTCTCCCCGGGTCCGCCGGCGGAGCGGCGGGGTCGCCCTGGCCGGCCCAGGCGCACCCTCCGCCTGGAGGCGACGCAAAGGCGCAAGTGCAGTATCACTCCTCCTCCTCCTCCTCCTCCTCCTCCTCCTCCTCCTCCTGCAGGAGGAGGAGGAGGAGGAGGAGGAGGTGAAAGCGGAGGCGGGGAGGAGGAGGAGGAGGCACACCCTCCGCCTGGAGGCCCGTATCAGAAGGATGCGCGGTGCACGCCGGTCGGAAGAAGTGGGTAGGAGCATGCAGTAGGAAGGCGGACGTGGTGGATTGGGTCCAGGCCCTCCCAGAGAATAGCAAGCCTCAGCAAAAGCGTGCCGATTCTTGAAGTAGGAAGGCGCTTGAAGCAGATCGGGATCTGGGACACAAAGGCGTAAACATACAGTCGGCCCGTATCATAAGCAAGGGCTCCCCACTTCGCGCTCTCGCGCTTCGCGCGCAGCGCGAAGCGCGAACAACTTCGCGCTCTCGCGCCGCCTCCCAGGGGGGAAGAGGAGGATGAGGAGGAATCGGAGCCGCACCGCGAAGCGCGAAGCGTGAATAACTTCACGCCCTCGAGGGCGCCCGTGCATAAGGATGCGCGATAAGGATGCGAGGGCCTCGGGCGCCCATGTCGAAGCTTCTCGGGCGGGGCGCGGCCAACGAACGTGGTCAAGGATGGACCCAGGAGGCAAGGATGCAGGAGTACCCTTGGAAATGCGGGTTGACTGTAAACATAGTTTCGCGGCGGTCCGCGCAGAGATCTCGGATCCGCGCTGGACCCACTCCCCAGCGCGCTGCGCGCGGAGCGCGCCAGGGGCGGCGCCAGAGGAGCCGCCGAGAGGGGCTCCAGCGCGGATCCGAGAAATCCACGCGGGCCGTCGAAAGTTCACGTTTACGGCAGGTTCGCATCGTGTGTGCTTCGGCGCTGGCTCCTGACACCGCGGGGACCTTGCACCCTTGAACGATCGGCCACTTCCGAAACCTCAGATCGTTCACATCAACCGATTCTGTCTCGGCGGCGGCGTCAAAATAGAAAAAGAAAAAAAACGTCATAAGAATAAGCTTTTGGCGCTCTGCGCGGATTTCTTGGGTCTGCGCTGGACCCCCCTCTTTGGCGTGCGGAGCGCGCCAGGGGCGGCGCCGGAGGCGCCGCTGGGGGGCCCAGGCGCCGATCCAAGAAATCCGAACGGAGCGCCAAAAGTTTATGGTTATGGCGCTCCTTCTCCGAGAAACGTCGGATCGTTCAACATCGACCGATTCTGTGTGGGCGGCGGCGTCAACCGTTGAACGCCAGCGGCGGGGTCGCCGCTGGTCGTCACGACGCGAACCTGCTGTACAGTAGGGGCTCGACCACAAGAAACCTTCCACGAGAAACCCAACCCTGAGACCCCAAGACACCCATTGATTTTTGGTGGGAGCGTCACGCCTTCCATCGCAAAACCATCGAAACCTACGAAACCAAGAGCACCCTGGAGGCAAGCAGCGTGTCTCCTGGCATGGGTCTCCAATTCGGGTCGGGCGAAAGGGGGGGATAGCAAAGGGGGGGTTTGAGAATCAGCTCGCGTAGCTGATTTTCCCGGCGCCTCCCGGCGCCGGAGGCGGCTATGTATCGAGGAATGGGCCCATCGGTGGAGCCGAAACCAGCTGCATGCAGCAGATTTCGTACCCCCCCCTTTCCCAATCCCCCCTTTCGTCCGGCCCGACCAATGTGTGCCGTGTTTGTTCTCCCTCTACCTCCGCCGCCCCACGCGTCGCCGCCGCCCCAGCCGGGTCCGCCTCCGCCCCACATGCCGGGCAACGGGGCGCCTCGGGCGGGCCGCGGGAGGGCCTGGGCCTGTGACAGAGCGAGCGCGCGCATGCTGGCGGCCGTCGTCGTCGACGTCGTCGCCGTCGTCGTCGCCGACGTCGCCGACCGTCGTCGTCGTCGACCTGATATCACGAAACATGAAGAGAGAGACTAATGAAGGGGATTAGCTCCAGCTGCACGTGGTCTGGCAGGAGCGATGCCCGCCACATCCCGCAAGGTAAAGGAATGCGTTATCACCCTTATGTGGGGAATAAGGCGTGCATAACTAACAGGCCACACGCAAAAGATAAACCAGCTTCGGGAATGTAAGCGCGCGAGGCTGACACTTGTCAGGCTAGGCTGAACTGGAGGAGCTAACTACAAGTAAGCTGGAGTCCTGGCAAGAGAAAAGGACTTGCTGAGTACGTTGCTGGCAAGTGAAGGTTGTCAAGAAGTGGCCGCTCCACGGCCTGCTCTGAGCCACCGTCCGTCCCCAACCACCTCCCAACCAAATAATCACCCTCCTATGCCACCCACATCCCCTCCGAGTCACAACGTAGGCTGGAGTACTGGCAAGAGAAAGAGCACACCATGAGGAAGTCACGTATAGGCTGGCACATTAGACGGCTGGCCTGTGCGAAATGCCACTTGCCAGGGCCGGCTAGGCGGCAGTTCTTGAAATGCCGCCCAGGATTTGTCGGTTCACCCCGAAACTCCATGGCCTCAGGAACCTCGATTTTTCCGTGTATTCGCTTCGGGTTAAGCACGGATCCCTGTGACATCTGACCTTCCGCGTACTGGTACTGCCAAGGGCGCCATCGCGCAGAACACGTGTTAGGGCCACCACTCCACCTCACACGGGGCCGCAACCATCCTACCAAACACTTCCTGCACCTTGGCCTTGTCCAAGCCCAGCTTCGCCACCATCTGGTTGGACCAGCGGAGCTGCGTCGGGGTGTCCTCCTCGGTGACTAGGACACAACAGGCTCGTGATCGAATCTAAGTTCCGCGCGCATCTTGTTGGGCCACCATCTCTCGGGAGAGCCCACCACCTCTGCCAGCGCCTGGGCCAGGCGCTTCGTGTGGAGCTCGACCCGCTGCGTGCGCTTCGACTTGTCGGCATTGATGAACATCTTGCGCCCACCCGCCGCGAAGCTGCGCCAGCCTCCAGGGACACGCAGCTGGCCGACGAAACGCTTCGCCCTCTCATATCCAACCACGCCGCCCGTGAGCTCCAGCACGTAGATGCGCCCCGAAGGCAGCGAGTGCAACGAATATTGCCCAGCAGCCACAGACGCCGCCGCGAGCCACTCCTCGAGGCCGCTGATGACCTCCGCCCCTGTGACTCCTGACTCCACCTGGATCTGGAACAAGTTCGGGGCCGCAAGTCAATCCCACACCTCCTGTCGCGGTACTTGCGCTTCTGCTCGCTCGAGCGCCACCGCGATGCCCTCGACCTTGGCCCGCAGCTCCGCACTCGAGGCTTCCAGCTTGTCCTGCCGCCCGCATGCGCGCCACATCCGCGTCCACGACAGCAAACCTCGCCGTGCACTCCTGGGCATGTGTCGTGATGACCGCCGCCGTCTGCTGGTGCGCCGCCGCCGTCGTCGCATTGAGGCTGTTCGTGGCGGCCGTGATGATCTGCGAGAGGGCAGTCGCGACACTCTCAGGGAGCCCAGCCGCCGCCGAGATGGCTGCCACACCTGGATCGGCCCAGGGGGCCCCTGGCGGCGCGATGTGGGCGGGGGCAGCAGCCGCGTGGCCAGCTGCAGGGGGCGTGGTCGCCACAGGCCCGATGGGCGCCCACGCGGCGGTCTGGCTGGCGGCTGCACCCAAAGCGCCGCCACGCCCTCCGCTGCGCCCGCCGCCCTGGCTCCAGGGGTTCCCCTCCTGGAGGCGATCGCGGGCCCCCCGCGGCAGACCTCCAGCGGAGCCCGCGGCAGCACGTCGGTCACGGTCACGCTGCCGCTGTCGACGCCGCCGGCGGGCCCCCTCGCCACTGCGAGAGGCATCGCGCTCTCCGGCGGAGGCTGCACTCCTGCTCGAGCCTGAGCTGCTGCCAGCACGCTGTACACGACCACCAGGGCTCCCATCCATCGCAGCATCATTCTCTTCAGCGCGCATGGGTCTCTGAGCGCTCGGGGCGGCAGGAACAGGAAACGCCTCCGTTTACCCACCGCCCCGAACGCAGGGTGCGTGTGAAGATGGTCCTGCCAGACTTCACGAAGTCTTGTCTGCCGCGGACTGGCGGTATCCGCTCTCCCCTGGGGAAGACATCATCTTGAGCCGAAATGGCTACGGAAGGAGGAGGAGGAGGAAAAGGGGGAGGATGATAAGGAGGAGGAGGAGGAGGAGGAGGAGGAAAAGGGGGAGGATGATAAAGGAGGAATGGGAGAAGGGTCTCCCCTCGCCCTCCTTGAGCCTTCGCGGTGCGGGAGCGAGGCCCGGCCCTGGCCTGTTGCCTTCCTCCATCTGGATCGTCATGACCTGCCCAGCAGCGGAGACGACGAGGGCGCGGCGAAGGTGAAGATGACGGTGACACAATGGACGACGACAGCCGCGGTGGTGGTGGGGATGGTGAGGATCCTGGTGTTGGCGATGGTGCTGACAATGAGGATCCTGATAAAATGATGGTGATGATGATGGTGGTGGTGATCAGGACGATGTCGTGTGTGGTGATGGTGATGATGATGGTGATGCCGATGATGATGGTGGTGCGGATGCTGATGATGTTGATGATGATGGTGATGATGATGATAATGCTCATGATGTTGATGTTGATGTTGATGGTGATGATGATGATGAGAATGATGATGTTGATGATGATGATGATGATGATGATGATGATGATGGTGGTGGTGATGATGATGATGATGATGATGATGATGGTGATCAGACGCTGCCTGCAGCAGGGCGCGTCCATGTTACCACAGGTTGCGACGCCGGCCCGAGGTCTGCGGAGGAGAGCAGGCTAGCCAGCTCTGTTCGCTCGGGGCCCATGCACGAGGGCAGAATGCCCAGAGCCAGCGGCTCATCTCGGCCGCCAGCAGGCAGGGACCAGGACACGGGCGCGGGGAGCCTGGAGGGTGAAACAAACCCTGCTCAAACGCCCCAGGCGCAAGACAGCCCAGCCTCGCGCGGGCCTCCAAACCAAAACAAGAACACAAAGCCAATGCGAAGGGCACCCGCCTAGACACCGCAATCCAGTCCGCATAGAACAAGTGGCCATCGTGTCAGCTAGGCCACCGGATAGGGCGAAGTTAAGACGATGCGTCCTTCGATGCACGGACCAGCTTTAACCACGAGACACCGTCAGCCCCAACTGGAATGGGGCGTGGCTGCTCTATAATTTCTTTACTGGTTGGGTACTCGCACTCCAGGAGAAGTTCGAGACGGGACTTGCAATTGGTGTACGTGAGACAAGCCTTCGGACCGCACTTGAGCCAAAAAACGATTCCTCGCACTGCGTTCCGAGGCGTACGCGCCAGATGCCACAAAAGTTGAAAGCGGGCCAGAGACATGGATGCGATGGCCCCTGGCGGCCTCGGGAGACATGGGGCCAGTCGAAGAGGAGGGTGGATCCTCTCTGATGTTGATGTTGCTGCTGAGGTTCCTGACTGGCCTTTTCTCTGGCTTCGGACACACACACACACACACACACACACACACACACACACGCACGCGCACGCACGCACGCACGCACGCACGCACGCACGCACGCACGCACGCACGCACGCACCCACGCACGCACGCACGCACGCACGCACGCACGCACGCACGCACGCACGCACGCACGCACACACACACACACACACACACACACACCACACACACACACACACACACACACACACGCACACACACGCACGCACGCACGCACGCACGCACGCACGTACGCACGCACGCACGCACGCAAACTTACGCGCGCACGCGGCCACGCAACCGCGATCTCGTCCCCACGCGCGTGGGTCAGAGCGAGGTGAATCTGAATATGTGCCATATGTCAAGCGCCCTCTCTCGCCGTGAGCTGCCCGCATCGTCGGCGCTACTGGGGCGCGCAACGGATGCTCAGAGGGCCGCTCGGAGGTTCGCTGCCAAAGATCTCAGCAGAGGCAGCCGGAGGCCAAGGGAACAGAAGGGTAGGAGCGGCAGCGCGCTTCTTGGCAGTCGTGATCATAATAACGATGTCGTCGGTTCGAGGCTGTGTCCCACGCCGGACGTTGTGCCCCAATCGTGTTTGGGCCGCGTCTGTACGCGCCAATGTGTACATCTATGCGCGTATGGTCTCGGCATCCTTGCTGGTGCGTCTCCGCGAGTGTGGGCAAGCCTCGCAGCCTTGTTTTGCAAGGCGGCGGCTGATGTTGTAGTCGCGGTAAGCCTTGGTTTCCACTGAATCAGAGAAACTATGGATTCAGGTTGTGTCGGGGTTTCGGTGTTCTGCTATGCCTGGCGGCCCATAGGGGCCAGACGGATCGCGAGGAGGCGGAGGAGGAGGAGGAGGAGGAGGAGGACGAGGAGGAGGGGCCATCTGTGGTTGTGATCTCGATGTACATCGCGCTCAAATTGGTGATGACCGTGGCGAGCGTATCACACGGCGCGCCGTCCGCCGCGTGGCGGACGGCGCGCTCGGGCCAGCCCCGCCTCCCGCGGGCGGTGAGGAGCCGCCCCCCCCCCCCCTGCAGGGGCCAGGATGGCCGTCCTCCTCCTCCTCCTTCGCCTCCTCCTCCTCCTCCTCCTCCTCCTCCTCCTCCTCCTTCTCCTCCTAGTCCTCCTCCTCCTCCTCCTCATCCTCCTCCTCCTCCTCCTCCTCCCTCCTCCTCAGTCCTCCTCCTCCTCCTCCTCCTCCTCCTCCTCCTCCTCCTCCTCCTCCTCCTCCTCCTCCTCCTCCTCCTCCTCCCGTGGGGCGGCCCTGCCTGCTGCAGATCCCGCACCTCCTGCGCACGCGCGAGGGGGGAACGGGGGGGGGGGCGCGTGCGAGGGGGGATGGGAGAAGGAGCCTGGCGACGGAGGGCTGGGAGAGAGGAAGAAGGAGCGGCCAGACGGCGGCCAG